CTGCAGGGGGCTCCAGGGATTGGGGGCTGATCCAGGAAGAGGACAAGACCAGGACAGGCAGCAACACAAGCGGCTCTCCCGGGTGGCGCCTGAACAGAGTCCCATTACAGGGGCGCCCCCTCACAGCATGAGACTGCCCAGGGGCTTATGGTCAGGGGGGCTCGATGCAGGATGGGAGTGCTACGGTCTCAGGGAGTTCCGCCCCCCCCCCCCCCCCCAGATACATCTGTTGAAATCCTGAGCACCAAACATGATGGCCTTTGGAGGTGGGGCCTTTGGGAGGTGTTTAGGTCAAGAAGGTGGAAGCCTCGTGGATGGGAGTAGCGCCTTGTAAAAGCGGCTCCAGAGAGTTCCCCAGCCCCTTCCACCAGGAGAGGACACAGCGAGAAGGGGGCAGCTGTGAACCAGGAGGGGGGCTCTCACTCCACCTTGCTGGCACCCTGTTGGCACCTTGCACCCCCAGCACCAGGAGAGAGAGCAGCGATGTCCCGTATTCCTAAGCCGCTCAGGCCGTGGCGCTTGGCCACAGCGGCCCCGTGGGCTAACGGACAAAGGCCAGGGAAGGACCTGCTCGGGGCGGGGGCTCAGCTCAGCAGCTCGGGGGACTGGCTTGGGGTCTGCGAACCACAAAGCTCTCGCTTCTGTATTCTTAGCAGACGGGGGCTGAGGCCTGGTGGGGTATGGCAAGCAGGCAGCCTCCAGACGGCCCCGAGTCTGCCGCTTTGAGCTACATGTGAAGCCGTCGTCAACATGAAAGAAAACCTGAGCTGGGTGCCGGGGCCGCCGGGGCCCACGGGGGGCGGTCTGCTGTGAGGAAATCCACCACCTAGGGGCCCGCGCACACAGGGCCCGTTTGGCTCATTTTGGGAACACGGCCTGAACCCTGCTTTTCCAGTCTCTCAACGTCTCTGTCTCTCGGCAGGCTGCCTCTCCCTCCCACGTGGGCCTCCTTTTCCAGGGGCTCCAGTAGGCAGAAAGCACCAGGAGACGGGTTCTGTTTGCAAGCTTCAGAGTTCACAGCAGAGAGAGACGGTGGTGGAGTGACTGTAACGCCCGGGCTCCCGCGGGGAGAAGGTCCCTGAAGGAGACGGGTCTGAGAGACTGCGGAAAGGCAGGCCGCTGGGAACCGGGAGACTCCGGGCCCCCCTAGCCCCGCCGTGTACAGCCAGGGAGGGAGGCTGGCTGGGAAGCAAGCTTGCACGGGGCTCCTTTAGAAAGGCACGGTTTACTCGACGGCCCCGGGCCATGTTTAGCCTCTAAGGACATGCTTCCCATTGTCCCCTGAGCCTCGGACGCTACAGAAATGTGACACCACCAACCAGACCAGGAAGCCTCCTTTGCTGCTTGTCCCCCCAGCGTCCAGGGGTGGGGGGGCTTCACGGCTTCAGGGCAGACCGAAGGGCCTGGCTCCACTTGCTCAGGTGGGACCTGGGCCCCTGACTCCACCTGCCACGGCCTCGGCTGGGCCTTTCCTGATCCCTGCCCGAGGGACCGTGGTCCCGCGTGAGTGGCCCAGACCCCAGGGAGTGCTCAGCACGGCCACGGTGAGGCAGGTGTCCTCGCTGACGGCTCCTCCTGCCCCGTTACGACACAGAGCTGTTTTCCAGGACGCGAAAGGCCGCCCAGCTGCTGCTGGGGGGCACAGAACTTTCGGGGACCAGGTTCCCATGGTGGTCTCTGCGGCCCTCAAGGACTGCCTTCCCAGTCTGGAGGGGGGAGACAGGAGCATCTCGACTGGGACTGCACGTGGGAGCTGGGCTGCACGTGGGTGCCCCAGGCGGGGAGCCCCGAGGGGGCCCGGGCCCCAGAGGGGGGCCTCAGGGAGGCAGCACCGCCGGAGGGGGCAGCTTGGGGTCCGCCCCTGACAGGAGCCCCAGGCGTATAAGAGAACAGTGCCGGCCGGCACCGCACCGCGGCGGCGGCGGGTGCCCCACACACCTTGAGTGAGAGGCGCCGGAGGGCTTCCGGGCTGGCGGGCGCGGGCCCTGGGAAGGTGAGAGCGGGGGCCGGGGGGGGGGGGGGGCGGGAGAAGGCAGGCCCCGGATGTAGGTCTCAGGGCTTGCGTCTAGCCACAGATGCGTTCCTTCTGAGCGGTGGCTGAGAAAGTCCCGTCAGCTGGGACCTGAGCCAACTGCAGAGGAAGGGCGGTGCCTGCGGGCATGGAGACCAGGAAGGGGGCAGCTCCCGGGACCCAGGGAGCAACGGATGGCTTGAAGGACGGGGGCCCGAAGGCAGGGGCGGCAGGCACGGCCACAGAGCCAGGCTCGCTTGGCGGGGGCTCCGGGCCTTGGGCCGCACAGCCCAGCGCTCGGCCCCTTTCTCGATGGCCACAGGGCTGCGCAGAAGCCGTGGCGAGTCCCTTCGGGGTGGCCGTCCTCGCAGCCCCCTCGGCTGTGCTCCGCCGAGCCGCCTGCCTGGGGCTTTGGCCCCGTGTAAGGCGGCCACCCGTCCCGGTCATCCCTGGGGCCTGTGGAGCACCGAAGAGCAGTCGTTTCTCTCCAAGGGTCTTGAGCATGGAAGCTGTCTAAGAAAGACTGTCTTGCGTGGCAGCCACAGGTCCTAGGGTTGAAATGCTGGGATTGAGAAGGCTTAGCTGAGGGAGGCTGAAATTTCCACCACGCCCTTCAACTACACTGAAGACGGCACTGTGGACATTTCCTCTTCAGGGGACAAGATGAGCCTGCTGTCCTAGATGCTGAGCCCCAGCGGGAGATTTGGCGACCTGAGACCAAGAACGTTAGGCAACGGTCCTACGCCAGACTCAGGACCTGAGAGTGCCCAAATCAAGTCCAGTCACATCCCTGCCTGACCTCTGTGGAGCGCCAGACCGTGGCTTCCCGACTGGTCATCTCTCCCATTTCCCCCCCCAGCACACGGTCCAGTCCCTCTGAGTAAACAGCGGAGCTCAGGGGCTCGCAAAGGCCACGGCAAAATCTCATTTTCATTCTTCAAAGAGCTCACTGAGGAGAAAATTCTTAGGTATGCAACTGAAGGAAGCTGGGCTGTTTAACCAGAGACTGACTCTAGGAGCCCCCTTCCGGGAAGCCACCAGTGGCTTTTAAACGGTGGCCCTTTTTTAAGCTCCCGTGTAAATCCTTAGCCTCTCGAGGCGGGCCCCCGCAGCGCACACTGACTTCTGGAATGAACACTTGGCAAACTGTCAAGAAGCACAGAGACCACGAAGCCAGCCCGATTCTCGACCTGGGGGCTCCATCGAGGGTCCCAGCCCTTGGATGGAAAGCCCCCTCGGGAGACCCTCTCTCGACCCCTCTTGGTGCTCCCTGTTTAGACACAAAGGACTGACCCTCAGAGAGGGCGAATGACCCTCCTCGGTGGCAGAGCTGGCTCAAGGAGCTAGGATCCTCGCAGGCGGGGCCTGTCCACGGCACCACAGTGAAGGTTAAGGACAAAGCTGTCCAGGTGGCTAGGGAACGTGCGTCCCTCCAACCACCGTCCCATCCTCTCATCTATGGTGAAGGTGACTTTCGTTTAGGTTTTTGTCCCATCCCACGCCCAGACTCCCCTCTATTTTCAGATACTGCATATTGGCCTCCTCTGGTCACGTCTAGCTAAACAAGTAGGAGTTTTCCTGGGGAGTGAGACTGTATAAAACAGGCCCTTTGAAAAGCAACCCCAGAGCAAATGACATTACTCAAGGTATCTACCATCAAGGTCATGGCAGGAGAGGGACACAGGAGTCAGGGGTGGGGGTGGGCTCGGGGCAAGGGGAGCAGGGCTGGCATGGGAGTGGGTCCGTGAAATGCTTTGTTTCAACAGAACAGAATACACGCTGAACCCCAAAATCAAGTAATTAAAAGGGGAAGTGCCAAGGGAGATCCAATTTGGAAGCGGGTGGCCAGAAATCTGGGAGAGCTGAAGCCAAACCACTCTACTGAAGAAAGGAGAGAGGGCTTTCGAGGCAGCCTCAGGGGAGGCTGAATCCACCTGTCCGCGGGAGGAGATTTGCAAAGGGCGAGCACAAGTGTCCCCAAAGTGAGCACATCTTGGGCAACGAGGAGAGTTTCTATAGGGAACAAATGGAAACTAAAGACAATCCCACTGTGATCTGGGGAGGGATGAGATCTGGGGACAAGCAGAGCTCAACAGGAGACCCTCGAGCTCGGCAGAGGAGGCGGCCATTCACTGACAGCGCTGGCGCTCTGGGTTAGCAGTGTGTCTGAGGTGCTGTGGGTAACACTGAGGTTGAGGAACAAAGAGGAATGCTCTCACCGTGCTCTAGCACAGCCCTACTCTGGGGACAACTTGACCCAGGGGCAAGAAAACAGGGCTCTTGGTTCAGGCCCATCTGAGCAGGACCAACTAACCAGCAGGAGCAGGTGAAAGAGACCAAAGCAGGAAGTGCGGGCGGGGGGGGGTGGGGGGTGGGGCAGGAAGAAGAGGGGGGCTACCAACTGAGACTAGGCCAACCAGATCGCTAGGGACTGCCATCTTCTGAGAGATACAGTCTCCCAAGGGCCCATCTGACCCGGGCAGACTCGGTGGTAGCCAAGCCAGGGCTAACCAGGGCCCGGCCCTTGAGCTAATCAGAGAGGCCAACAACAGGTACCCCTCCTCCCCCCCCCCCCCCCCCCGCCACGTCCTCAGGGAGTGGGAGTGGACCTAGGACTGTGGTTTCTCTACCCATCCAGGGCCTGGCCCCGGGAAACAATGTGCCTGGTTGTAGACAGGAGCCCTCCTGGGGAACTCAAACCATACTTTTGTATCCTTGTAGAAAAGAGAGAAGCTGGGGGCCTGTACCCCTCCCCTCCCCCACACTTGGCCAGGGCTCCCTCTCCAGACCAGCTCAGAGTCACCTTTGTGACATCACATGACAAATAAAGAGGGCGATGACTCAGGCACCCGGTTGCCCCACTACAAGACTCCAGAATTCTGTGAACAGTATATATTGGGCATCCCTGTAGTGGCCGAAGGCATTTCTGACTCGAGAGTCTAGTGAGATGGTCTCGGGGTGAAAATGCTCCCGATCTAGACTTAGCTCCATGGCTGGTCAGAGTACCGACAAGGTATACCAAGTCAAGCTGCCTCCCCCTGGTGATGGGGAGGCAGCAACAGAGGTCCCACCTAAGTCCTCCCTGGAACCAAATTTGGATTCCAGGGAGGTTTTAGAGAAGCATGAGGACCCAGCTGGGAGCCGAGATCCAGATCCCCAAGACGACCCACAGCCACAGGCCCCAAACCTGGGTGCCGCCAATGTGGGACAAAACATTTTCGGGCTCTCCTTCCCGAGGAAGCTCTGGAGCGTCGTGGAGGACACCACCTTCACGTCCGTGCGCTGGAATGACGACGGCGACACCGTGATCATCGACGAAGACCTTTTCCAGAGGGAGATTCTTCGCCGGAGGGGCCCAGAGAGAATCTTTGAAACTGACAGCTTGAAGGGGTTCATCCGCCTAATGAACCTGTACGGGTTCAGCAAAATACGCGCGGACGACCCTCCGGTTCACGCCCCGGGGAACAAGAGGATGATGGTAACGTACAAAGTCCTTGCGTTTCCCCTGTTTTCTGTCCTTCCAACAGCTTCCCAGGAGACCCAGATGAAGGATCTCCCGAAAGGGTTTAATTTCTTATTGATACTTTATTAACATGTTTCTCTGTGCCTAAACAGAAGCCAGGGAACGTCAGACAGGTGTGTGAACCCCTTAACCTATGCGTGCCGTGTCGTCGGTGAGCCCAGGCTCTAGGGCGTGAGGAGCCTCGCAGGCAGCCTCAGAGGACCTTTCCTCCATAGTAGAACTAGACCATTATCTAGGCCATTATGACAGCCGGGGGGGGGGGGGGGGGGGGAGGGGCTGGGAGTAGTGGTGGCGCCAGTGGTGGCCGCGGTGGCCGTGGCAACGGCGGCAGCAGCCGGGAACGCGGTTCTTTCCTTCCAGAATGACTAAAAGGATGAATCTCGTTTCAGATGTACCGCAACTCCAACTTCCGGCGAGACAGGCCCGTGCTGCTCGAGAATATTCAGGCAAAAGGTAACCTGAGAACTGGCACCGGGTGGCTAGGAAGCAGTGCAACACCTCTAAAGAGGAAGAAGCAGGTAGCGGCGACGAGACGTTCCCCACGAACCCATCACAACGAATCCACCCAGGAGGACAAGGCGGAGCCCAAAGAAGCCCCAAATGTTCAGGGACCCAGTGGCACCCAGGCCTTTTCCTTCACTGGGATCTGGGCCCTGAGCGGCGTAGCCAGATATGCCATGGCAAATCGGGGCCCAAGTGAGCCGGGGGGCCCAAGTGGGGAGGGCACCTCCAGGAATGTGATGTTTGCGCCCCCGGCTACTGCCGGAAGGGGCGGCGCGGGGGAGCTGCCCGCTGCCCCCCCGCCCTACCCAGATTATGAGTCCGTGCTGTCGCTGTACAACACCTGTTATTCCATCCTGCTGGCTGCCCTTTTGTTCATGTCCCCACACGAGGCCCCCAGTGAGAACGAGGAGCAGGAGGATTCCTCAGACTACAAGTGTGCACTCTGTGAACACTTCAAGGACAACCCGGGTCCCTAAGCTCACAGGCCACTGGTGACAGATAAAAATCACGATTGTGTAGCCCTGGCTCTATTTTTGGCTTGAATAAAGAAAAGCAAAGCTCCGCAGGAGTAAATAAGCAATGACAACGGCGAGTCTGTGTCCTTTCTCACTTGCGATACTACACACACCTCACTGGATAAACCCGAGGAGGCTGCGGATCCTGGCCCAGGACCGGTTTTGGCCCCCGTGGGCCCTCTTGTCTTTGAAGCGGCGGCATTTTCACCCACTCGGCCAAGGAGTGTCGAGCGGCTAGGGAGTGTGGAGGCAGGCCCAGGGAGATCTGGTCGCCTGAGCCTTGCCTGCCGGCCAGGAGACACAACAGCCTCACTCCTGACCTTGGCGCTGTCCGTCCCCCTTTCCAGCATTCACGAAGCTTGAGACAGGAGGGGCTTTCCTCGTGGGTCCCCCTGTGATGCCAGCAAGTTTCTGATCAGCAGCTGAGTGCTTCTAGCGCGGGGGCCAGGGGCCTTCCAAAGAGGCCCACCGGAAAAGCAGGGACGTAGGACCCCTTTAGTCGAGCTCAGAAGACACAGGCCATTCCAGTCAATGGCGGGGTGGGGGTGGGGGGCGCGGGCGGGGCTGGCCCACCATCCTCGTGGGTAACAGCCACTAGAACCTTGGCTAAGGAACACACAAAAACCAACAACAAAAGATTTCCCACAAAATACACAACCCAACTTAGCACTTCTCCATCAGTGCTGTATCTAGGATCCTTTCCCTGCACACGAAGCAGCCGTGCCATGTGTGGAACACGCACGCTTCACGGGCCGAGGGACGCCTTTACAACAGAGCAAGAGTCACCTGCGAGGACGGACGGGTGCTCTGTTTCTCGGGCTGATGTCCCCGTCACCGTGAACGGGGCCGTCCGTGGCTGGCCACTCCCTCCCGGGCCTTCCTTCAGCGCCGGCTCCCAGCCTTCCCACAACATCCCCTGGACGCTGTTCGCTCTCCGACTTTTGACCAGAACGAAGACGGGGGGATACACTAACCAGTTCTCTTAAGGTGTGTTTCTTTTTTTAAAGATTTTATTTATTTCACAGAGAGAGACACAGAGGGAACACAAGCAGGGGCAGAGGGAGAAGCAGGCTCCCCGTGGAGCCGGGAGCCGGACGTGGGGCTCGATCCCAGGACCCCGGGATCATGACCCGACCCAAGGGCAGACACGTAACGACTGAGCCACCCAGGCGCCCCGAAACGTACTTCCTGGTGCAATCCAGATTAGTCGCGGTGCAGAGGCCTTTACGGCCGCTTTCCCTTTCTCCTGAAGCTCAGAGTCCTCGAGCCTGTCGAGGAGCCCAGACGGGCAGCTCACAAGGAAAGTCCCGCCGGCCCGTCCCCCGCACGGGAGCGGGGAAATCTGTGTCCACGAACAGCACGCAGCGGCAGCGCTCTCCGCGGCAGGGCCCAGCCGGACCAGAGCTGCGGTCCCCGCCTGCGGCACGACGGTCAGCTCACGGGTCGTGACTTAGCTGGCTTCTCCGTAACCCCGCACGCTCCTCAGGCCTCCTGCCCCGAGGGGAGCAGGTGCTCTGGGATGTCCACCTGGAAGACATCCTTCCCGCCTTTCCTGGGGATGGGCTCCAGCAACCACCTGGGGTTCGAAAGCGCCGTGAGGTACTTCTGCCTCAGGCTGGTCAGCACAGCTCGGTTTTCCAGTTCCACGACCTCATCGGGAGCTAAGTCTTCTGGGCACGGCAACGTTTCCCCAACGTCAACAAGCCCTGTGCACAAAGAGAAGCACGCGCTGGTTTTTCCTTCCAGAAACCGAGGCCCGCCTGTTGGGAGAACACGGTTATCGAAAGCGACACCCACCAGAGACCACGAGGGTCTCACCAAGGGGCCACGGAGTACACTGGGCCCCTCTGGCCGAGCATTTGCGACGTGCCAAACTCTGTTCAGGGAGTTCTGGGTGGGGCCGAGGGACGGAGAGAAAGAAGCGGAGGGCCTTGTCCTCAACGACCACGCCCGAACAATGGGCTGGTCCCAGCCAGACTGCTCAGGGCAGCAGGCGGAGAGCAGGAGGGCTCCAGACGCCAGGGGGGGAACAGGCCATCAGGTCCCCGAGTACTTCGGCAGGTGGCAGGTGCGGCGCTGGGACCCGACCCACCGAGGGCGCAGGGAACTTACCCGGGATGCGGGGACCGTGGGGGTGGGGCGTCGCCCACGAAGCCAGGCAACAGCCTGAATCTGGAGGTTACCCCAACCCACCCCGGGTCCCGCGGTCCCCGCCCCCCATGGTCTCTGCCGCGTGTACGCGCACGCACACACAGACGCGCACACACTCGTGCGCAAACACACGGGGGTACACAGACACACCCACAGGCAAATGCCACGTGGAGACTCGGAAGCTGTCCCTGCCTCTCAGATCAAAGATGGGAACTGAGGCCCAGAGCGGACGCAGGGCTCCCCTGAGGTCGTGGGACCTCGGCGACCCCCCCACCCCCAGCGCACGGCCCCTCGCTGCCCCTCCGAACGGTGTGTTGCTCGGCTCACACACCAAGCGGTTCAAAGGAAAACAAGCCGCAACACTCCCGAGCGAGGTCCTGCCGCGTAGCCCCTGGAGGTGTCTGAGCAGCATGCGGCCTGTCATCACTTGCCAGCTATCACGCCACGGCCGTACTTCTCCCCTTCCCGAAGCAAGGCCTGAATCTGAGCGGGGCCCATCCCCAGCCTCTCCACCAGCAGCGTCCTCCACGCGGCGTCTTCCCAGTCCCTGTGGGCGATGTGGACGGCGATGGTACAGTTCCGGTGGCTGCTCAGCAGAGGACGCCAGCGCGTCTCCACGGTCTTGACCCCATTTAAGACGAAACCCGCATAAGGCTGCCGGAAGGAGAGGCAGCCGAACTTCATCTCCCTACAGCTCCTGGGGCCTCCCCTGGCCTGCGGGAACACGGAACCACGAATGTCAATGAGCATCACGCCCAGCGCTCCAAGCCCATGACCCGCGGGCAAGGCCTCTCCCCAGTGTCCCCCGGGTTGCCCTGAGACCCCACTGACCTGGACGGTGGGGCAGCCGAGAGCCCTGGCCCCTTCCTTCTATCACTACACAGTCAACCGACAGGCCCAAAGGAAGGGGCCGGTGATCAGGCCTCCTTGTCCATCAGATGGAGTCTTGGGCGAGCGCACCGACGACGGTGCAGACAGCTAGAGAAGGGCATGGGCAGGACAGCACGTGGTCAGTGCTACGACGGAGGCCACGGAGCCCCAGGAGAGCACAGAGGCCCCTGGGTTTAACGAACGACTCAGCGAGCTGGCTCTAGCCCTCTCCCAGCACAGACAGGGCCAGTCCTGGGCTTCGCTGCTTCTCCTGCCAAGCCACTCGGGTCCCTGGCCCTGCCACCGCTGACACACTGCACACCCCCGGGCTCCTGTCCTGGGGCGGCGGAGCACAGATCCTTGGTATCTGACCTCAGCTCGGCGCTGGGGGCGCCCCGCGATCTCAGATGGCCCCGGCCCCTTTGGGTGCCACCCTCCTCTGACCCCTTCCTGCCCCACTGCTCTCCACTATCAACAGACACCCCCAACCCCGACCTGAGCCTAGAGAAAGGAAATACAAGAGCAGGACCAACTGGTCCCGGGGCGCACGCACTGTCTCTACGCCAAGCACAGGGGAGGGGCACGCACCACACACCGTGGGACTCAATCCTCAAATCACCCGGTACGGTGGCGCTACCATCACCCCTCTCCGCATCTGAGGAGGAGGTGCCGAGGAAGAGACAGATGGCCCGTGACTGCAAGGGGATCTGAGTGCCTGTACCCCCTGCCCTTGCACCTGGACGGGGCGGGGGGGGGGGGGGGGGCGGGTCCCCCCTCCTCACGGGAGGACAGAGCTGTGCAGTGGGAAGAGCAGGGCCCCGGGCCTGAACCTCAGCTGGGTCCCGGTACCTCACGGAGCCTCAGTCTCCAGCGTGGCTGTGAGGATCGGGGACAAGGTGCCAAGGGCACCCAGCCCAGTACATGGCACCTAACAGGACAGTTACAAACAGTGTCTCCCATCATCATCATCATCATCATCATCATCATCATCGGGCCTGGGGCTCTACACTGAGCCCATGAGTACCACCTACTCCGGCTCATCTCTGCTCCCAGTTCCTCAAGTACATAAACCTGGCCTCAATGACATTCTCTTGTTTAAGGAAACACATCCACTCTCAGAGACAAGGCCCCGTGATCACAAAAGCTGCCTCACGTTCACCCCCTTCCCAATCCACCGTCCTGCCCGTCGCCACGTCCAGACCCGCTGCCTTCCGTCTTGTCTCTCCGGCCGAGCTGCCCTCAGCTGTGCTCTGGGGTCTAGCACTCTGGCTCACTCCGGGGCCTGGCTCGGTCATGCTCCTGCTCAGGCAGCCTCCCTCCCGTCCCCCGTGAGTAGGCGGTCCCGTCTGCAGAGAGCCACACCTGTGTCTCCCTCACCGCAGGGACAAAGACTCCCCCCGCCCCCCCCGCCGCCCCCCCCTCCCCCCGGGGCCCACACAGGCCTCCAACTCCTGCGGCGGCCTTCTCCAAACCTGTGCATAGCAGAGGTCCCCCCAGAACAGCCGTCTACACTCGCAGCCTCTACTTCCTCGCCATGCACCGCACCCCACCTTCCACGAACACACCCTTGACCCGCCTGTCTCGTCCTCATCTAACTCGTGGCCGGACAGCCCGGACGCGGTCGACCACCTCTCGTTCCCTTCTTCTCAGGCTTGCGCATCGCACGCTCGCCCGCTCTGCCCCCGTTCACACAGGCCATGCCCGCTTCGTCTCAAGCCTCCACAGCCAGCAGCCCCAGGTCCCCAACCACCGCCACCCCAAATCCGCTTCCGTTCCACCTCGGCAAGTGGTTTCACCACCCATCTGTTGTTCCAGTCCCCCTGACCTAGCAGCCGCTGCGCTCCCTTTCCCGCACCCGGCACTCACATCACGTGGGCGCCGGTCCCCAAACCCACTCAGAGCCTGACCCGTCTCCATCGTCTGCACGGCCACCATCCCAGCCTCAGTCTCCCAAGGTCCCGCTGCCCTCTCGAGCCGTCTCCCGAGCACCCTCTGCCTCGCCGCTGGAGCGCAGCACTCCCGGGTCCGCACCGAGGACAGGGTGGTTCTGGTACAGGAGTGATCCATCGTGTCACTCCCCTGCCAAAACCTTCTAGGGGCCTCCTGTCCCGTCCAGGACAGATCCACACTTCTCGCCAGGGCCTAAAGGCCCCACGTGATCTGCCCCCCAACCCCCCACCCCGCTGTCTGCTCCCTTCACCCCTCTACTCAGCACCCTGCAGCCACGAAGGCCTTCCTTCCATCCCCGGAACAGTCCAAGTTCATCCCTCCCTCGGGGCTTTCGTAGGTTGTTAACGGGTTGCATTATGTCCCCACCAAATTCGTGTGCTGGAAGTCTCGATCCCCAGCACCTCAGAACATGACCTCATACATAAAGGAAAGGTCTTTACAGACCTTTTGAGTTCAAGTGAGCTCAGCTGGGCAGACCCTCACCCGGTATGACTGGTGTTCATACGAAAGGGTGAAGTTTAGAGACAGGCATGTGAAGACACAGGCAGAGATCTACAAGCTGCGGGATGCCAAAGATGGCCAGGGAACCACCAGAAGGTGGGGGGCGGGGGGGGGGGGGCGCGGAACACCTTCTCTCCCAGCTCTCAGAAGAGGCGAGTTCAGCCGAGGCCCTGAGCTCGGACTTCCAGCCCCCAGAGACGGGAGACAATGCATTCCTGTTGCTGAAGCCAGCCAGTCTGTGGCAGTCTGGCACAACCACCCTGGCAAGCTAATTCAGGGGTAGGGGTAAGCTCTGTCCTGGACGTCTCCACAGGGTGCACCGTGCTTTCTCCCTCAAGGGCACACCCAGCCCCTTCCTTCATGTCTGTACATCTTCACCCATCATCTTTTTCACTGCCTGCGTGGCATCCCGTGCTTGGCTGTCCCACCATTTGCTCACTAGTCCCTTACTGACGGAGACTCACAGACTGCGTTGCACTTTCTGCCACTACAGAGGACATCACCACGGACGCCCGTTGGCAGAGGACGTGTTTAGTAGGCGGCTAGGGTCACGGCATGCACGTCTGAGATGCTGATACAGGCCAGCAGAGCGCCTTCCACAAAGGCTCCCCCGTGTATGCTCCAGCAACCACGGGCAAGGGGTCCACTGCCTCACTCCACTGTCGGCCCTGAGCATCGTTCCTCCGCTTAAGCTCTGCCAACCCGATGGGTGACAAAGGGTCGCCCTGTTCACTGGGTCCGGATTATTCACGAGGGAGGCTGGATATCCCCCTGTGGCCTGGCCCTTTCTCTTTCTTCTACGACGGTATATAACTGGACTGCAGGTTTGCCTCATTCAGTGTCTTGGCCAACCTTTTTCTCATCAGGGCCACAAAGACACAAGGAGAACTGAACTGTGTGGGCGGAACCCCTAGAGGGATGGAACTGTAAAGCTGCCCTCCTGTCTCGCCATGCAGAGTACCTGCTTTGTGGTCTGACGAGGAAACGCTATTCCACTTGTCTGGCCTTCTTCGCCTGCACGAGGACTGGAGTGGGGGGGGGGGGGGGGGAGAAGAAAAAGTCATTAGGTACAAGAGGACAATGTTGGCTAATGTGCCAGAACAGGTTTTCTGCTCAGCAGGGATGGGGGACCCCTGGGACTCAGGCGGGCCCGCTGGATGGTTAACACCTCACTCGAGGTTTGGTTCTGCTAATCACATGATGCCCTAGCCAGCAGCTGAGAAAACTCTCATGTGAGGGATCCTGTTCTCACAGCCTCGCAGACCCCTTATCCAACAGGAGAAAGATGACACCACTCCCTCACACTGTCACAGGGGAAGGACTTGGGGGCCCTACGATCCCGGTCCCCTCAATAAAATCCTGAGTAGGCCCCACTGGGAGGAGTGCCACGGGTAACCAGGGGAACACCGCACAGCCTGGGACCTCAGGTAGGTCACAGCCTGGTGGCCAAGGGGAGGCGGGGAGGGACGCAGTGGGGGAGGACTGGAGCTCGTGGACCCGCGCGCTCCTGTTTCTATGTGCACAGGTCCACTGCCTGTACATGCGCTTAGAAGGATGGCGGGCGTGTGACTGTGGCTGGAGGAGGGGATAGCGAAGGGTGGCCTGGGCAGCTCTGCGCGTGCTTCCAGACCCCCCCACCCCCCCCCGCCCGCAAAGGCCCGGAAAACCCCAGCACAGAGGTACCAGCCCGCGGAGGGCCCAGCAGGCCTCAGCAGCAGGGGCTTCCTGGCTCCCTCTGTGGCGGGCGGGTCTCCCGGCACCGAGTCGCGGGCGCCCCTGGCTGACCCGGATGCGGCCACCAGGCGGGACCGTCCGCTTCCGCGTGACCCGGCGAGGCCGCCAGCGCCTGGACGACCGCCTCCCACGCCCAGGCCAGGAGACGACGCGGGCCGCGGAGAGCGGACAGAGCGCTCGGCCCGCGTCGGGGCTCTCCCGCCATCGCCGCGGCCCGGCACCGGGGACCGCACACAGCTGACAGGCGTCGGCGGTCCCTCAGCCCACAGGCTCGCACAGACGCCGGCGCCCCTCCCTTGCGGGGCGTACGCCCGCTCGAACCCACGTAACGCACTCGGAGGTACGGAACACGCCCGTTCGCAAGCACGTCGGCACGCAGCCGAGCAGTTACGTACACACGCACCTACGTACACACGCACATAGGCTCGGAAGCCCCGGCCGCCAGGAGACGTGTGGGGGACTCACCCGGCCCCGACTCGCGGGGGAGGACCCCGGTGGACCGGGAGGTAGACGCCGGCGGCTCGAGCGGAACCGGAAGTCAGGAAAGAAATGGGGTGGGGGGGAAGGGGCGGGGCGAGGCGAGCGGGGGGGGGGCTGTTCCGTGGGCGGGGCTACGGGAGGCGGGGCAGGGGGAGGAGTGTGTGGGGGTCGACCTGTGGGAACGAGCTGGGGGACGAGCTGTGAGGCAGGGCTGGGGGAGTAGCTGGGGCGCACCTGCAAGAGGGGTGAGCGCGGCGAGTGAGAAAGAGTTGGGTACGAGCTCGGGCACTGCGAGGGGAGGAGCAGGGAAGGAGCAGGACAGAGCTGGGGGGAATGTTGCGGAGAAGGGGCTGTGCGAAGAGCAGGGTGGGCCTGAGGAGGTGTAGGCGGGGGGATCTGAGCGCTGGGGTAACGGAGCTTGGGGCGGAGCCACAGGAGAAGCTCGGGGACCCCTGGGGATGAGGACCTGGCGAGTAGCAGGGCGGAGCTGAGAGGAGGAGCTGGGCGGGGTGGAGCTGAGGAAGTTGGGAAGGCAGTGCTGGGGAGGAGCGGGATTAAGCTGGGGAGGTGGAGATGGACGTGGAGCCTTGGGAAGAGCTGGGAGATCACTGCCGAGGAGGACCTGGGCAGTTGTAGGGCAGGGCGGGGGACTCTGGAAAGGCGAAACTGGGGGAGGAGTAGGGCGTGGCTGCCGGAAACGTAGGAGGAGAGCTGGGGTTGAGCGGGTTGGAGCTGGGAAGCGGCAGGGAGGGCCTGGCGGAAAGGTTGGCGAAGTAGCTGCCAACGGGGTGTGGGGCTGGGGGAAAGCTGGGAGGAGGAGCTGTGGCGATGCCAAGCGGGCTTGGGCAGAGCAGAGCGATGTCGGGGAAAGCTGGAAGCAGAAGCTGGGGACGAGCGGGGCAGGGCTGGTGGGTAGCTGCGCGGAGCAGGATGGGGCTGGGGAGGGGTAGGGCAAGTTGGGGGAAAAGCTGCGAGGAGGAGCTGGGGCAGGGCTAGGGCGGAGCATGGCGGGCCTGGGGATGCTGACAGGAGGTGCTGTGGAGGAGCGGGGCGAGCTGGAGGAAAGCCTGGGGTAGGAGCCAGGGCGGGCTAGGGAGGAGCTGGGTGGGGCTGGTGGTATAGCTGGGAGGAGGAGCTGCAGGGCAGCGGGGCGCGGTTGGGGAGTGGCACGGTGGGACCCGTAAGATAGCAGGGAGGCGGAGCCGGGGAGGAGCAGGGCGGGACTGTCGGCTGGTTGGGAGGAGGAGCTGGACGGGACGGGGCGGGGCGGAAGCGAGGGCGGGGCGGAAGCGAGGGCGGGGCGGAAGCGAGGGCGGGCCGGGCGGAGGAGCTGCGGCGGGGCCGGGCGGAGCCCGGCGGAGCAGGCGGGAGAGTCGGACCTTGGGAGAGCCGGGCCCGGGGAACAGCGCGGGGCCTGGGCAAGGGCGGCTCAGTGGCCGAGGCCAGGCAGTTCCCTTCTGCCTCCCGTGCCATAGGCGTCCGGTCGGCGCCGCACCGGTAGGCAGCAAAGTGGCAGCCCCAGCGTCCTCAGCGACCTCAGGTGACCCTCAGAACGGACCCCGGAGAGCACGGAGGCGGGGAGAGGGCGGGACCTGTAGGTTGAGTCGTGCACCTGGGCGCTGAAGGCCGGGCGGGCTCTCCTTCCAAGCCACCCTGGGACGGCCAGCGGGGGTCCTGAGGGACGGTCTTTATATGAACCTTTTTTGCAGGTGAGAAGAGAAATTCCTCTTCTGTTTCCTGCTGCCCGTCAGACCTGACCTGAGCCAGACAAAGCCAGCTTCCCTGTCAGAGCTGTTTCCTGTCCTCTGCCTCTCAGTCAGGGGCTCAACACACTCAGTGTCGCCGTGCTTTGCTCCTGGGGTCCCCTTACCCTCACCCTCCTTCCGCATTTGCTTGGTGACCAAGTCCTGTGTCCCTGCCTCCCACATGCCTGATCAGAATAAATTCTCCTCTTCCTGTCCCCACTGCTACCTCCTGAGTTCAGGCTTGTGGTCTGGGGCTGGTGACTTTTACCTGAGCCTCTGCACTGGCCTGGATGCCTCCTGTGTTTCCTCCTTTTGGGGGGTCACTTTTCCAGAATATTCAGGTCACCCCTGGTTCATCTGAGTGGCCTGCAAGTGAGCCTTTCCTGGACACCTTTTACAAAGCACAAGGATCTCTTTTACCTCAGCTACCCCTCTCCCTCTCAGTTCCGCACCCCTACCCATGGAACAAAATCAGCAGTGAGAAGTAGAGGGACTGCAGATAGAGTCTTTAAGGAAACAAAGTTTCTGGCAGAATGTCTTGTATCTCTGGTTTTTCCTGAATTCTCTCATAGCTGGGGACATTGCCCACGTGACCCAAACAGATTTCTAACCCCTTTCTGGCCCTCGTGTGACCCCAGCCTCCCCTTTAACTTAACCATGCTTCCTAAAGCAGAACTTTGCCCAGGAGTTGCCTGGCTCCTAATGCTTAGCATTCAGGTGCCTGAACCTCTCTGGCCTCAGTCTGTCCATGTGTCGAATGAGGATAATAAACATTCCTCAAGTCGTGGAATTGCTATGAGCACTGAATGGGCCCAGTTTAGCCATCACACTAAGCTCTATGAGGCTGTACTCATAACATGGCCTTGTTCAAGGCAGCCCTCCTGTCTCCTTGGGCATAGCTGCCCCTCCAGTCTCATTGCCTGGACTCTCCCCCGGTTCCCAGCACTCAGTGCCTCTGCCCTCCACACTGCTCTCTCATGGCAGATATCCTCCCTCACTTCCTGTGTCCTCATGAAGCCTCCCCTACTGAGCCTGGTTTCAGGGCCTGCTCCTTCTTCCTGACAACTTTCCAGAACCTTGCCTGTGGTACTGCTTTTGTGCAAGCTTACCTTGGACCGTTTCTGTTCTGCATGTGTGTCTGTGCACCCAGTTACTACAGCTAGACTGGAAACCCTCTGAAAACAAGGACCCTGTCCACTTCACCTTTGTACTATCCCCAGAGCCTGCCTCTGCCAGTGGAGACACTCACTAGATGTTGACTGATGATGGCGTTAAACTGTCCAGTTCGAGTCATCCAGGATTCATCGACTCTCCACCATGATGAGCTACTGGACCATGCTGGGCTTGGCGGATGAGTGACATAGGACCTGCCCTGGACTCAGTGCGTGCTAGTTGGATAAGAAAGGCAAGTATGTCAGTAACTCTCATTTGAGGTGGGACCAGACATCATCCACAGAAAGAACTATCTGTGAAGTACTATGTGGCCTCAGGGGAGGCCAGTATGCATGTCACTGGGAGATCAGGAAGTTTTCAGAGGCAGCCTGGGTCTGAGCTGTGCATTGAAGAATAGGCAGGGTTTTGAAGGTGGTGATACAGGAGTCCAGTCCTGAGATGTCCGCTTCAGACTGGAAAGACATGAGATCAGAGGCAATTAGGAAGAAGAGCCCAGGCAAAGAAGCAGGCAAAAGTGCTTCTGTCCTCTTACTTCCTTTAGTCCTTGAATCAACCTGGCAAGCTAGGTACTGTTAGATCCACTTGACAGATGAGGAAACCAAGAGCACAGAGGGCAAGGGACTTGGCTAAGATCTCTCACTTGGCTGAGGGTGAAGGAGAATTGGGATTTAAACTCAGGATCGGCCCACCTGGAGTCCGTGTGGCTGCCATACAGCTTGGGAACACAGGAAATGCACTCTGAGCCTGGTGCCAAGGCTGTCCCCCTGTGCCATCAGTTATGCTTCTGAAGGGTAGGGCTGGCCCTAGGCCTTGAGTGTGTTCTCATTTCCCATCTGCAAGGCGAGGGGCTCGGCCTCTGACTACTTCAGCTCCTTCCAGCTGCAGTGTGATTCAGGGACTTTGAATTGTGTTGCTTGCCTGTGAGCTCGTCTGCTCCTTTCAGATTGTGGGAGGGACTGTTGCACTTGAATCAGAAGAGTACGTATTTCACAGGATGTGCTTTATGATGGCTATCAAAGAGTCAATTCTGTTTACTCAGTTGCGGCTGGTGCTCTTTGGACTGTAAGGAGAAGTTGAATCAAAAGGGAGATGAAGAGCCTGTTGTGCTACAGCTGCCCAAAGGCACCATCCTTGAATTTGCATCCCCAGTACTCCAGTTGAAAGTGTCAAATTGGGTATATACATTTATTTTTACACTCGACTGTCTTGCTGATGGTTTCTGCAGAATGACCCAGGGTATCAGAGTTTCTGTCACCAGTCTGTCGCTTGCTTCTAGGGATCTGTGTGATCCAGGGCCATGCGACTTTAAAAACTCTATACCCCTATACGTTAACGTCAGTCCTTTCCACATACATCTTCCTCCTGGGACAGAGCAGGGTTGGTGTGGAGGTGAGGGAGGGCCGATGTCATTTGCAGTCACAGCAGATCTGCCCTCTCAGACATCTGGATGCTTGTTTCTGTCTTCTTCGCCTTCCTTCTCCCATCCGAGCAAAACTACTCATTGGAGCACATCCTGTTTGTACAGTGACTGTTATTCATCTCAGATTAATCCCAAAGTAGTGCCATCGCTTCCCCCCTGAAATACCAACCAGACTACTGCTTTAAACTGTTCGTACATGAGGGAGAGAGAAGAGTCGGGGCGGGGCGGCATGTTCTGAGCACTCACACCGTGTGCCGGCAGGTCGTTGGACGCCGCTCCTGGGCTGCTCTTGCCACTGGAGTCAAGCCGGGCCGGCATTCCTGCCACGGTCTGCAGGTCACAGCTTGCTTGCCTGTGGGTCCTTGTGCTGTGTTCTGGCCCAAGAAGAGATCGTCTCCAGGTTGTTTGCCTCATCCCAGTCCCACATTGGATTCTCCCTGGGCTCCTGGGATGGCATTATCATTCTTTTCCCTTTAGAGATGAGGCAGCTGAGATTCGATTCAGAGAGAGGAAGTGATTTACCTCAGGTTGCATAGTAAGTGACTGAGGTGGGACTCCAGCGATTCCGCCTCCAACTGTGGTGACAGAGGCTAGGGGTGGAATATGCTACCTAGAGGGCCCTTTCGAGCCTGAGCAACATTTGATGCTGTGCGGGGTATGGTTTGGGAATTCAGTCTCGACCCATTCAGAAGGTTGTCTTTCTCGGCTGCCTCTTTGGTTCCTGGCC